GGAACAAAAAGATAGAAAGATAATATTAGTGCTATTCGGTAACAGTGGCCGACATCAAAGAACTTCCCCTTTCTTCCTCGTTTACAGTGGTGTACTTGGAATTTTTAGATTCTTATGGGAGGTCTATTTCAGCCTTGTTAACATCAAGAATAATCATTTTAGATTTTTATATTTTAAAGTATTATTACTATTATAACAACAGTGCCAATGATTTAAAATCAAAATCTAATACAATTTTTATATAACGCTAAAAGAAAAGTTTCTAGCCGCAAAGCTCTTTAAAATAAATATGTTGCACAACAATACGTTACAATAATACCAGCCAAAAGATTATTTATATGGGTTCGCAAATTTAATATTGCGAATAAGATCCTAATTTAATGACTCCATTCTTTAGAATATCTTTTTAAAAACGATTTCTTTTAAAGTTCTTTTAATCGCTTCGCTTATATTCTTCATCGTCACTATTCATTTCGCGATAGCTACGGGCCTGATCGGCTCTCGTTTCCCTTCGCCGACGTGATCGTTTTAGAATCCTCGGCGGCACCTGCCGTGCAACCTGGGGCACCGCACTCTGCACGTAAGTATATACGAGTAAGTATACACTTAGTCCCCGTGTGCAGGCTGCGTGCCGCGCGGAGAGGCCGCGGCGGCTACGGTTATTACACGCGTCACGCGGCATTCCGTACGGTCACGCACCCTCCCTCCACCCCCCCCCTCCCTTCCACGGAAGCTGCCGAAGGAGGGACTCTTATCGTCACCCTCTATCTTGTCAGCCATACGCAACCCCATTAAACCACTTGCGATGTGCCTTACACGATCCAAGAGCCATGGTCGTCCATTCCGAGGAACAAGATTTGTACACGAAGCCAATCGCTGATTCTCTACTTTAAATATACGCGATTCGAGCTGGAAAATGCAAAACAACACTGATTACAGTTTTACGAGACATAAAAATATTCGAATACAAAGTGAAACGAATAATTCACGAAAAATCATGATTGCACTAAAAAAAGAATTTTTTAAATTTTAATAAATCATTTGCTTAAATACCAGTTAAATATTTATTAAATTAAAATAGGTTTATTTGGTATAAGAATCATTAATTTGATTTAACAATTATTTTTGTATTTAATTAATATTTATTTACTCTGTAAGTGAATATTTAGTTGATACCATTTAAATAAATGTTTATTAAAATTTAATCATTTTTTTCTGAATATGTAAATGAGTTAAATATTTATAAACAGAAAAGTAGTTAATAAAGATAAAATAAAATATTATTATGTTTACACTATGTGTGACAAAAAAAATCGTAAAACCATCTTTCTCCTCGCTGTAGCGCTTCTCTTTTACTTAAGCATGGAAAAAATTAAGATCGACACCTGCGTCGCCTCGCACACAACTTTGGCAAGACAAAAATCAAGTAAAACTTCTTTTCATATTACTCTTACTTTCAAAAGAACTTTGGCCATTGATTATGAAAATCTAAATAATTTCAGAACAATTATTCGATATATTCAATAAAAAAGTATTTTACTTTATGCTTGTACGCTTTTGATTATTTAATGTTTTGTTATAAAGCCTTCCTTCGTTTGTTTGGATTTTATTTTATTTTAAGTATTCTTTATTATCAATTGTCAATTCAGAAATGGAATCAGATAATTTACAATTCATTCCCCAAATCTTTTCCTTATCAAATTCTTAACTTCTTCTACTCTTTTAAGTTTCTTTTTGAAATTTAGAAAAATAAACACATATCTTAAAATAAAATAAAAGTATGTCAGATTTTTGATTTTATATAACATTTTCCATCTCTAATTAAGAATTTTTCGAAGAGTGAATTTAATACGAGAATCTAATGTGATCAGAAAAGATTTTCATGTTCAGCGATAATTTTTTTTATAATCTTGTGATTTTACAAGCTTATTCATTCTATGGAATATTTTTTACAAAAAATATATCGGTCCAAAAACGTTATCGTTATGTTAGTAGCTAAAGTCACAACCAGAACGTGTCAAAGAGCCGTAATATTCTTCAAATATTATCCTTCTGAGAAGTCTAAGATCTCACCCCGAATAAACTCCGTCCGGTGAAATTTCCGAGTTACCACGCGCGACGTGAGCAATTCCGTCAAGCTATCGGCTACCAATATCAAAAGTGAACATCGAGAAACGGCTGAACGAACGATCTCCAGCATCTATCGAGAGGGAAGAAGTGAGAAAATTTTCTCAGCCGAGAGAAAAAGAAGATGGTCGATCTTCACAGAGAAGAGCGGTGGCGGAACGGACACGATATAGTCGCTGATGGGCACACACATATATATATATA